TAGAATAGAATAACATGCATAGTATTATGAATACGATTCTGCCGTCCAATAACTAAAATATGGCTAAGTAACCAATGGTCAATTAACCGTTTTAAATAGCAAAAAATAGAGCACAAAATTCTTTTTAAATACAGTTAAAATTAGTTAACGTGTTTGAATTATCGGAACTTACCCTAACGACGCATAGCTGAAATATCATTACACAATGTCAACATTCTAAAACTGGGTTATGGTTTTTTATGACATCTCAAAATAATATTTTATATCATTATCATATCATCGTCATACCTAACGCATTTGCGTTTTGATAATATTCGAGATAGTGAAATAAAGAAAGAAAGAATAGTTTATTACACAAGCGCATACACGCATATTGGTACCTGAAGTTTTTGATTAACAATAAAACTGAAACGAAATAAAAAAAAAGCTTAGAGAGTATTTCTATAAGCTTAGAGAGTAGATCTCGGTTTGCTGATGCCAGATAATATGTTAATAACTCAATATAGCTAAAATGTCGATTGCGTTTGTTATAATAAGGAGAGTAGACTAAATGAACAACACTAAGTGCCATTTTCGTGAAACAACGTCAAGATAAATTGTGAAACATTCCAAAAGTATAAAAGCGTATTGGCAATAAAAAGTGGCAGATTAAAAATCGATCCACAAACACGAAACGAGCGGCGAATGAGAAACAAAAGAAAATAAAAAAAATAAAAATGTCACCCGGCTTTCAGCGTAACAAATTCGGCGGGAAAATATTTCTCGCGTCCATATCGATACAAACAGTAATAAATTAGCTTCTCACTACGTTATAGTGATGTATTTAGATAATGATTACCAAGCAGTAACGTTACTTCCAAATCGGCAAAAACCTACAGTCCAATAAATACATTAAACAAAACAAAAAGTTAAAGAAAGATAAAAAGATAGTTTTAATGGCCTATAATTATAAATAAATAAATAAAATAAAATGTTTCTTTATTTAGGTATACACCCATTAATAAATTTAACATTATTAATTACATTGCGTTACATTACATTACATAACCAATTAAATTTAATTTTATTTACCGAATATTATAATTATTAATGAAGTAAATAATTATAAATAATATGTTATCTGTGGTTTGGTAATTTGAAAAATAATTGCTAGTAGAGCAATGACCTAAATTTATAGAGCCAGATTTAGAGAAACCGGGGAAAGGTTGACCTTGACGAATATACAACCTTAAAAAGGCCATGTGAAAAGAAGACTGACGGGAGTGGAGGGAGGGAGACGGTATGTCACGAGGCAAGCGTCATGGTATGTATACCTATGTAGGTATTCGTATTATGTTCTCCTTTGGCTATCACATCTCACACACGGACAATACAATCTGGGGGCCAATCGCGCTATTTTCGCAAGGTTTAACCTTACAACATTTGAGGTTATGGTTTTGGTTAATTAATGGTTCTACCGACGCACAAAATGCAATCGCGCTATCAGTTTTAATGAAGCTAAACCTCAAATTAACCTCAAACTATAACCTCGTATTAAATTTTAAGAGACGTGCCTTGACTTCCTAAAACCGACTAAATTTTACCGTAAAACGCACTGAAATGTCAATATCTACGAATTCAAGTCTATAAAAGAGCGATTTAAAAAAGTGTGTAAAAGAAATGTCATTAAATTCTATTGTAAACAAACATATGTGTTGTGATTTGAACCAAATTAATTGAATTTAGTGTGTTGTTGTTGTAGATAAAACACGCAGAGGCAAGTACCTACACATTGTTTTCCTTTTTTAATATTCTATTTAATAAAATAGTATCTTTTTATACAATCAAATAGGTACGCTAACTACTATTAATTTCGAAATGTTAGCAATGTAGAATTAATAATGATGCTCGTATTTCAGCCACTGTGGATGCGGTCGGACGGCGAGCGACCACTGTAAGCCAGCTCCATCTTTGCTGGAGTTCGAATCGCACAGAGATTTGGCTTGAGAATGACTTCGCTCGGCGTTGTTCGCGCGTGTTATCAGCACGCCTTTGGTGCGAGTGTGTGGCTATTTTGTGGCCTCGCAATAGATCCCAAAAGGTGAGCTATAATGCGAGGTAATAGGATACAGTGAGTGGATCACTCACCGTTATTGTACCAGAACTCATATCACTATAATATGCAATGTTATTATTGTTATTCAGGTATGGAATGGTATGAAAAGCAGGGTGAGAATCTACGCCACGTCGACTGCGGCAGAGGCCCTACCAACCTTCCTAAAGGACACCAACTCTAGCACAAAATAACTTCAAACATACAATTCAATAACAAAGTAACTTTCTCACTCTTTATTATTAATTAAAAAACAAAGTAACTTTCAATTTGAGCAAATTCTTTCCCACTCTTTATTCCATCACATCTATTATTTCGTTGACAGCGAGCTGATGAGCGTTGGAGCAGAGCCGGGTAGAATTCTTATGCATTGAGGAGCAGCGAGCATGCGAAGCATTCTTGCAGCAAGTGAATGCTGGCAGGGTGCAGGCTGAGGCAGCTATTATTTCTGCCAAAGCAGATGATCTGCATGCCCAATCCGTAGCTGCCATTTGCAAAGCAATTACCGAGTTGGTGCCTGCAGTTAACCATTTTGATAGACTATTTAACAAGAATGACAGGTTTGTTTTCAACATGTTTTCTTAATTCCTGCTGATGATATGTTCAATTGTGGAAATCTGAAAGAGCGTAAGGAACGAAGGTCTAATCTGTAGACTTTTGTCCCCTTTATATTTCCACAGTGATATAAACATTTTTTTAAATGTATTTTGAAAAGGCCCCTAAACATTCTGGCGTTTATGTTGGCTTCATACTGTATGTATATAAATACCCATCCTGCTTTATCTGTCACTACTCTCATGAGAGGTATGGCACAGTCTTAAATTTAGGTCTCCAATCTTACTATATACATATTTTTGTTTCAGACTTCTTTGAAGAATCAAAAGCAAGCTCGCTCTGGAAATGAAGGATGATTTGGGGTAGATTGAGGCAATAAATAAACTAAAAATACACTCTTTTTTTTATTTCAACCTCTTAAAAGTATACATCAATTTAGATATTAAGATAATAAACAATTACAATAGGTATACATCGTCATCTTAGAATGAATACCACATATTTCTATGTAATTTTTTAGGATGAAGATAAAAATATGGTGTGAAGTATAGTAAATGCAATAATGTGTGTAGTTAGCATTTTAATTACTTAAATCATACCTCTTTTAGATACTATATAATTACATTATTAATTTTTATTCAACAAAAATCAGTAAAAACAAACTGAAAATGCGTATGTGAGGCTTCACTGTAAGGGGACGATATGTTGTATAAAGTCAAGTGTTAAAAGAGATAAATTGTAACCTTGTAATATATTTTTATACAACTATACATATTTTACCTATACCTGTAATTTTAATTTGATAATAACAACAGGAAATAAGACAAGAACTAATAAATATGATGTACATTGTAAAGCTTATTTTCTCACCGCCTTTTAATACCATCTCTTTCGGCATGCCTTTTAGGAAAGCTGCATATTTATTCATAATAACTGGTTTATTTGAAGCAGCTACCGCTTGTGCCTCTCTGACACTGACTTGGGAAAGGGTGATAAGCACTTGCCAATGGGGGTCTGGTACGCCCCAGTTGTTAAAAACTATACGAGCTATTAAAATCTGTAACAAAATTAATAATGATTTACACAGTATAGAAATTTTGGTTATTATGCAAAACTGAGAACTTTCGGATTCCACTCAACCCTTACCTTTGTCTCCACATCCAATGCAACAGACCGTCCTTTAACGAGAATATGTAGGCATAGTTCTTCCACCAATCCTGAAATGAATTCCGTGGACAAACGGTATATCGTTTGCGGAATTTCTCCTCAGACATGTTAAATGTGATCGTCTTTCTATGCTTTTCTTTTATTTAAAGCCCGTTCTTAGGCCATATCCACCTCATAAACACTTTCCAAAACATTTAAGTAACCGTGGAACATCTTTTATATACGATAAACGTAGTGAAAAGTTACTCTCCATTAACTGCCACACAAACCTTGACCTTGCAAAGGTTAATCTATTCCCCCAAGGTTACATGTGAGGTTAAAATGTCAAAATATTTAGCGCGATACCAATTTGCAACATTTTAGGTTTTGGTTTTACGTTTGACAATTAGCGCGATACCAAATGTGCGTTACGTGTCACACGTCTAAGTTTTGGCTTAGGTTTTTGTTTTGACAGTTAGCGCGATACGAAATGTACACAACGTGTCAGATTGGCGAGGTTGGAGGTTTTGGTTAAACCTTTGACAATTAGCGCGATTGGCCCCCTGCTAGTTAACAAATATTTTCGATTGTATTTTGTCATCCATACGTTGCTTTACCCCTACTTTTTAGACCCTGTCAGTCTTGTCTGTGTTTGTTACTGTATTTTGTTCTTTTGTGTAATAAAAACTATTATGTATGTGTTTTTAGAACAAACAACATGAGAAATATTATTTATTTATACGTTTTAATTACGTGTCTTACTGTGCATGTAGACTTCGTCGGGCGCTAGACAGTTTATTAATAGAAGACATATTTTGTAAATCCCAGCTCGATACACCCCTCGGCTGAAATCAGTGTCGTCAGTGTCGCGGCGCGCGTCGCCCGGAAAAAAAAGGAAATTTTACGCGGGAAAGTTTGGTTTCACATATTTGAAAGTTGGTTTCCGGGAGTTGCAGTGGTCGTTTGTGTTATAGTTAATAGTTAAAAAAATTGATATTGTTTTTGCTTTATAAATAATTTATATCTAAATTAATAATAGTTTCGACTTTCGTTATACAAAATATTGTGAACAATTTTATAAAAAAAGTTGTTTAGAGTTTAAAAAGAGTATGTTTTCGTTTACAAAAAATATGAAGCTATAACGCATATTTCGCATAGTGGCGTAGGCAGAATATAAAATAAAAAAGGTTCCTAAATTCATAGAAATATGTCATACAATACGTTTTACGAGTCGTTTAGCTGCAAAGAATTCCAAAAGAACGTCGACGCAAATTCAAACAACATGAAGAACGAAAACAAAATGGTTGACGATCAAAATGGTGGGAAGGTTGAAATTATATTACAAAATGAGGGTAAAGAAGACGAAGATCATGTTCAGCATATTTTAGGGCCTAGTAGGCGTTGTTTGGCGTGGGCCTGCAAAGCTTGTAAAAGAAAAACTGCAGCTGTCGACAGGAGAAAAGCTGCTACCTTAAGAGAAAGGCGGAGATTGAGAAAAGTAAGTTATTTCAAGGAGCGGCGAAGAATATCGAAAAATCCAGTACAAAGATTTTTAACAAATACACATAGCAGAGTTTCGACAACTCGGTAACTTGACCCGTAGCTCAGTTAGTAAGAGCAGTACTACGGTGCAGTATGGTCGTGGGTTCAAGTCCCATTGGTACGAAAAAGTATATCTGTGTTCGATGTTAGTATTAATAATTTAACTGCCTCCATGATCGAACGGTTACCACAATGGACTGCCAAGCAGAGGTCTCGGGTTCGATGACCTGACCGGTAGAAATATTTCGAAGAAGAAGAACAATGTGCGATGTAATTATACAGCGAAAAGAGGTTAAAACATAATTTCGTTATTCAAAAGGCCTATATAAAGGTGTTTTCAGATTTTTTATGTATTTATTACTTCGTTTCGGAAATATAAAATCGAACAACAGTCGATCTTGACTGTCGATATCCGCAGTCAAGAACAACAAACGAAATCTACAATGTCCCGAGAATAAGCAGTATCTTGCACATAGGTCTTTGTTCTACGGATGAGTCGATTTATAAGGCCTACATCTATTTCTCTCTTAAGTTTGCGTGTAATTTGTGGTTGTGTATATGTGTGTCCGTGGCAACTGCGATACAGGGTTTCCCTAGTGCGAGGCTATAAGTGTGTGCGTTTATATATTATAATAATCACAAGTTATTTCAATTTTGACGATCTCAGTGACCCAACGGTTTGCAACTTTTTGAAATCGTACCGAATGTTCTTTCTCGTTTTCCATCCGACATCTGTCAGAACAATTAGGTAAATTAAAAAACAATCTCGGGCATGAAGCCTCATTCGCATCTTGCGTTTTTTAATTTCATCGAGTATTACTTATTTGACTGTAGTTGTTTTGGAAGAATGTCGGACGGAGAACGACAGGATAGGACCACGTTTGAGTGGTCTGGGTTGCCTAGAGCGAATTTGTTTGCTCTGACGCTCATAGTATACAGAATTTCCAAGTTTTAGTCCAGGTAATTGGAGTTAATATCAAGTGACGGGATGAACAAGTCATATACCTGATGAGTCCATGGGACCTGCCAGTGTCCCTGGAGCCGCAGATTTCAGAATTTATGTTTTTAACAAACGAAAAAGTCATTTGAAAAATGTATATCGAATACTATACGTGGTCTATTTAGTTCAGTTGATATAAAAAAAAACAATTATTGGTATATGTAAAGTACATATTATAAAAAAAAAATAAAATAAAAATCATTTATTTCAGGCCGTAAGCCCATAAAAAAAAAGCACAAAAATAAAATTAAAAAAGAAAAGAAAAGGGGTATTAGTAACACAACACATCTTAAAACTATGTTAGTACAAAATTGACACAATACAATTAATATATACATATGTTAGGAATCACTACCTACTTTATATGTCCAGTAGTGATCCCTAACATGAAATTCAGCATTGCGCTATCAATGCGACACGCAAACATCTCCAGGATGCCGCTGCCACCACCACGCACTCTTTTCAGCAGAGACGTCACTTTTTTGCGTCTAACTGCGTAAAAGTCGTCAGTCCGCGCTTCAGCGAACATGCCGGACGCGCTGCAATGCCGTGGTAGTCCCAACAACATCCTGAAGATGTTGTTGTATTGCACTCTCAGAGTATTGTAAGTACTCTGGGTATACCTGACCCATAGACCACTCGTGTACATGGATTGGCAAAAAGCTTTGAAAAGCGTGATTTTTACCTCTCCTGTACATCGAGCGAATCTACGAGCAAGCATATTTCCACGCACAGCCAGAGCCCTGCGCTCCCTCTCTATATCCATGTCGTCTTTTAAATTGTCTGTTACGACGTGTCCCAGATATTTAAAACTATATGCTCTACCGAGAGGCACGCCACCGAGCACTAGCGATGGTACAACGTTAGGGAGGCGGTTGCCTGCTTTGAAAACAAGCAACTCACTTTTTTTTTTATTGAACCCAGCGGTTTTCTTGTAAAATTTCGAGGTAAGTTTGTGTTTTTTTCTATCGTGTAAATTTTTTGGAATCGTATTTTCACATCGTATACTACTCAGTGTACATATCCTCAATTTTATTTTTGTCCAAAGTAATGGATTCAACACTTTCACTGGTAAGCGGAATCAACCAAAGCCATTTGAATAATATAATAATAATAAGATTTTTATTTTATTTTATTTATTTATTTCTATTCAGGTTACAAAGACCCATAAATTCATGCTTTATAGACTAACATACATAATAATACAATTCTATATAAAAAACACTCTATATAATATATACCTTAAGGAATAACATACAAACAATATAATAAAACACTATTTCTAACCAATCTACACGAATTGCACTTGTCGGCGACGTGTGACGCAATCTGGTGTCAGGTAGCCGGCCGCAGAATCGCCGATACTTGACACCCTTCGGCCAAAACCCTTCCTTCATGAAGGTCGACAAATGTTCGGTCGGTACTCTCACCACAAACGAAATAAAATTCACGTTGTGGCGTGACTCCAACCGCTCGACCCTCAAGGTGTATTTGGCTTTATGTCTGATGTATTCCACTATCTCCTCAGACTTCGTGGAGTAATGCAGTCGTGAGATGCGTCGTCGGTATGGCCGGAACCAGCAGGACGTTCGGTCCTGTTGGTGCTGTGCCACACTGATTACGGCTGGTGGGCTTCCTCTTCATCACCTTTGTGAAGCCGTCCACATCACACAGGTCCGTCTGCCTCTGTGGTTTTGCAACTTCAGAGACAGGCTCACGGGTATTGTTTTTGTTCTTAGCCGATTGCCGCCGCTAGAGTTTCGAAGTGGTGGGTCGGCTATATAATGTTTATTGGTACAAAATAGTTACCACACTATAGTGAAGTCCCTGACACTTGGGAGTCAGTGTACTCTCTCAAACATTTGACACAGCTTATATTACCTATTTCTTAACAATTTTAATAGGCACATGATTAAATATGAATATTTTATTTTATATTACCAAGTGACGGGATGAACAAGTCGTGCGCCTGATGATAAACTACACTCCTGTCCACAACAGTTGCAGTGCCACTCAGAGCTTTAAATCGCATCGATCTGAAGGGCACTGCCACTGCGCTTGCCACCCTGAGACGTAAGTTGACAAGTCCCATGTGCCTGTAATTTCACCAGCACCCTTACCCTTCTAAACCGGAACACAGTAATGCTGACATTACTGCTTTGCGGCATAAAACAGGTAAGGTGGCAGTACTTCCCTGGACGAACTCTTTCACAAGGAGCTCTACAACTGCTAAACTGCTCTACTGCTGTGTGGTCTTTGCATTGTTATTATTCAATGGAAACTGTGATAAGATGGGCCACACTTAACGACGTAAATGTTTGCTTAAGCTTGCTAAGTTACCAGGGCCGTAAAAACTAATAAAAAAAGTAACGAAGGTTAGTTGGACAAAGGTTAGTTGGAAGAAATCCCTTTATGGTCTATCCACACATATCCGGACCGTGCCCGGGATGTGGACGGGCCGTGCCCCTGACGGATCAGGGGCTCAAAAAAATATCATTGCGTATATTTAGTATGTACTCGTTTACACATGTCCGTGTCCGGGCCGGCGCCGGGACGGGCCCGCAGGTCATACAAACTAGCACGCCCCGGCCACGTCCCGAGCACGGCCCTGATGTGTGTGGATAGTCCTTTATGGGGTAAGCTTGCCTTTTTATATTAATATTTGAAATTGTTTCATAAAATTTGTAATTTACGTTGTGATACAATAAAGTGTTACCATGTATACATAAAAAAAAACAATATGTCAAAATTGTTCGTTAAATATAATACCTACGGACTTACCACATTTATTCATTTATTAAGACGCACAAAGTGATTTTCGCTCTTATTACATGGACATAAAGATTTTTCTGACGATAAGTGCGGTGACTTCCTTATCATAATTTAAATTTAAATTTGAAGTGCTAGCCTAAAATTTAATGCCCTTGACCCTGTACTTTACGTCTCTCTACATAGCATTCAAACTTGCATTTATAGAAAGTAATACAAACCTCCATCACAAACACTTACACAGGGTGTTCTGTACCTGTAAACTATAGATGGTAATTTTCAAGTAATTTCAGCGGCAATTTTAATTTTTTATGTATATTTTTGAAATTTTAAATAATATTTCAGGTTACTCTCGAATATTCAATAATACTTTAAGATTATCACAATATTGAAATTAGAAATTGCCACCGAAATTAGGGAACGAAAACTAACTTGACAATTACCCAGATAATGTTCAAGCGTATGAATGTTCACCTTAAATTAAAATTTTAACTTATAACACTAAAAAGTTTTGTTGGTAGCACTTTTGAAAATTAAACAAAAAAAGATTAATGTTGAAAAATAAAATTTATATTTCGTACCCTCGTAATAACTTTTAAATATCACTTGAAAGTCAAACTAACACGACCTACAGGAAACAAATCGGTCATTCTTTTACTAGTGTTCACTACCTAATTTCCGTGGCAACTTTTATTATTTAAATGCTCAAGTACATTATCATGTAATTATTAAATAATATTTCTCGATGCAATATTCGACCACAAAATAATATTGCACGATAAAAAATCGAATACTTAAATAATATAAATCACCACGAAAATTAGGTAATGAACACTACCGTCCGCGAATAACCGAAATTATGTATATGGGAAATTTTATCTTTCCTATTTAAGGACTAAAAAGTTAACGACTAATGTCGTATATAAGAATCTTAAATCTTTCTTACATTTTTAGGTAATAATTGAAATTGGGGTGTACGAAAAGAGCCTCCCTGCAATGACGTACAAAGTATATCAACGAACTCCAGGTTCCTTAAGGGTTCTTTTTCAGATAACAGAGGTCAGTAGCGACCACCCACACATTGTTTTTGTCAATCAATAACATTTTAGTAGCAGTAGAGTTCGTCCAGGGAAGTTGTGCCACCTTACCTATTTCTACCGCTAAGCAGTAACGTCAGCATTACTGCG